TATATATATATATGGAATAAATGGCTAAATTAAAATTAAAAAAATTAAATTATATATGTATATATGTTTATATAATATTACTGTATATTTTACAATTATGTACAATATATTTACAATAAAAGTTCATAAATAGTGTTCAGAAGTTGATCATTGTGTTTATAATGTAAATTGTGAAGTCTGTATAACTGTAACTGATAGAAGATACTTTTTTCATAACTTTAATCAGAATTTCACTCATCTAGTTATCCCAGGCCAAAAACGATGAAAAGGACTTTCCAGGAATTTGGAAGGACTGTCGTGTAGGTGTTCATAACTGTCTGCATCTCTAATATCTCGGCTAGGCAGTACTGAATGACGTTTGTTTTCCTGAAGAATCCTGGTATTGTTGAGCTTAAGTTGTCAGCCAGGAAATCTGCATGATTTGCCTGCAGTTGTGTATTTAGCAGCTTTTGAATGAAGTAGTTGAAGTGATATGGCATGACTGTACACTCGACTTCATCAGTGAACTGTAACACTGACTTCTACCTGCTGCTGTAATGTACACAAATATATGACACATGTACACAACAACAACCAATATTTATGCAGTGACCTCATGCCACGTAGCTAGAATTCTCATTATCAGAGCAGACTGAGCAATTTGCATTTAATTGTTGACCTCATGTGCCATATGTGAACAATTAATTGTCTGACACTAATCCATTTAAACGAACAATGTCAACTAAGCAAGCACTTTTGTCCTTAATAGGCTATTGTCTTCTTTCTGATGAAATACGTATACTTTAATCAATAATATTCAAAACGCATTAGCTTAGCATATGTAAAAGGGCACATAATTTGGTTGATCTTTAAAATATGTTAGTCCTTTTAATCCTTTTTTTCTGCATAACCAAACCATGGGTTCTTCTGCCTAGTATACTTCCATAATCCGTAGCTTAACAAATGTTCTTGACTCTCCAATTCGCGTATGACTAATGCTCAAAGAACACAAGTGTGACAACATTGCAGTAGACCATTGATTATAGTGCACAATTTTTGCCTCTAAATGACATTTCTGCTTTGTCTGATATCTACGACATTTACGATCTTAAGATTAGTGGTCGACTGATATATCGCCCGATATTTGGCATTTTTCAAATATCGGCATTGGCCGATAAGTTTTTCTGTTTGTCCGATGCGTTCGAGGCGGGACTTTTATTTTGATGACGCGACTGACTTTTATTTTGATGGCGCTGAGAACGGCAGCGCCTGAGCACACAGTGCTCACATTCTCCCTCTTGTTCGCTGTCGTCGTTAACAGCTCTGTCTAATACGGATAGAAGTCTGTCTAATAATCAGAACGGTTAAACAAAGGAATTAAAATGTATACAAAGTATTATATTATTAGTAATAGAAAGGCAAACATTATAATACTTTCTCGTTTGCCGTCAGCATTCAGCAAATACGCATTTATGTCATTTAAACAAATCTTTGAATGAATAATGAACATTTAATTTCACAAACCTTGCAAACTTAGTCGAATCCAGCTGTGAGATTGTGTGAAGTGTGTATTTGTATCCTGCATAGGGATGATACCGATCTCCGGCCGATAATCACATTTTATGACTCGATCGGTACTCACTACACTTGGCCGATCTCACGAACCGATCGCAATTTGATGTCAACGCTTGATGACGTACATGATGCGTGGGGACATAAATCGCCGGTGTGGAAATGCTATGACGTTTCTAGAAACAATGAAAAATTCGCTATTTGTCGTGTATGTTTTGCATGATGATATGATGAATGGATGGTTCATTTTTAACAGCAGATTCAGTGACGTTAGAGCTGATCTGCGCCTCACTAAATGCGTCTGCGGTGCGTTACGGCTCCACGGGATAGCGGCCGCTCTATGCTTGTGTTTATATCAGCCAGCATGTTTCAGAAGCGGCTCTCCACGCTGCTTGGCTAAAAAGTCTTTTGTGAGTTGTCACAGCGTGGAGGACGGAACAAAACCTCGTCGGAGACGTAAGGGGTAATGGTAACATAATAGCTACGCTGATCGTGGGCTGCTTTTAAATGAACATTTATTTATAAAACAAAATATCTT